ACAAAGGTTGATTAGGTAATAATGATGTTTCATATTATTTATTTCACTTTGGCTGAAGGAAGTTTTGTAAAAAAATAATTATAACTCATTTTTGGTAGGGGGGTATACTTCACAGCTTTGTTGCCAGAGCAGTGCCAATTTAGAATGCCTTTAATTTTTACTGAACAAAAATACTGTGTTGGGCATATCTTCTGAGGTTGAGTGATTCAAGGAAATAAAGACACGTGTGGATTGGTTTTGTGGGTTCCCAAGAAGGTACTGGGATGCTTACTCTCTGAGGCTTACAACCATAATAGCACTCTCTCTCTCTCTCCTTGGTCATCTCCTATGTTGTGGCCCCATAGTTCAAAGGGCAAAAAAGCATTCAGCCTTAGTCCAAAATCCTCCATCTCTAAATTGCTCTAGAAGAGTCTGGAGCCCGCTGAGGCTGAGAACTTGACAGAATGCCTAAGGGAAGAAACGATGCTTATTCTAGAGAAAAGACTCCATGCGGGGGAAGAGAGGTTTTCAGAATTGAAACGTTATCCCAGGACACTAGAAATAAACTTTGCATGGCTTCAAAGATCAAACTAAATGCTACAGAAAGGCAGATTTTGACTCAAAATAATGAAACTATTTTTTTTAATGAGAACAAGCCAAAGATAGAAAGGCTATTTCAGAAGAGAGTGAGTTCTCCATCACTGATGTCTCATGGCTTGGTTACGTAGCCTAAGAGGAAATGATAACCTCTGTTGAGGCACACAATATAAAAGTTTCCTTCCAATTTCTATTCTGTTCCCCATTGGGGCATTCTTGACTCATATATATCTGCTTCTTCAATTCAACCAGATGAATTTTGGGGCCCCATTAGGGTGAGAATCCACACTGAAGACCAGCAGGCAGGGTGCGAGGCCACAGGGAAAGCCAGCACATTCTACCAGGTCACACCAGCCACGGCTGGGAGTGGAAGCCCTGGGGGGTTTGTCCTGGGATTCCTTTTCCTCAAACTTGGAAACCACTCCTAAGATTTTAAAAATGCACCTGCTGCTCTCATAACATTGTCTTAACTCTTAAGGTCTTTGTTTTCTCTTAAGTGTTCCAGTGTAGGCCAGATGGCCATTTTGGAGTAGTGGAAAATGTGAGGAAATTGTCCCAAGGGTTTGAACCAGATGACCTTCAAGGAATTGACTCATCTTAGTTTTGTAGGCTTCTTAGCTATCACAGGGTTTACTCCCTGAAGAAACCATTACCCTAGGGGAGAGGAGGTATGAGATAGGTCCTAAGCCATTTTGGGAAATAGGTTTCATCATTCCTAGAAACGAGATGCAGATGAATAAGGATCAATCCCTTCGAGCTCCCTAACAATTAGGACTAACTGGAGGTGTGCCCAATTATATTTTCCAAAGATGGCCACACCAATATATCCCATCCCACATGCTCCTCTCATGTGACACTCACATTCCTCCATCGAGAGTGGGGTGTCTATGTGCCTCTCCTTGAACATAAGCGGCCTTATTGACTTGCTTTTTATGAACAGGATATGGTGGAGGTAAGTGATTTGGGGTGACTTTCAAGGTGAGGTTACAAAAGTCAATACAGCTTCCAGCTGGCACATACACACACTCTCTGGATGCTATCCCAGGCCCCATGTTGTAAGGAAGCCCAGGCCACGTGTAGCGGTCTATTTCCAGCTAAGATCTCAGCCAAGAGCCTTCAATAACTGCAGGCATGAATGAGGGAGCTTTCAGAAGATTCCAGGCTCCTGGATGATACCATGTGTAGCAGAGATCAGCTGTGCCCACTGAGCTCCATTCATATTACAGGTTTGTGAGAAAAATAAACTGTTTAAAATCACCGTTTTGGGTGATTTGTTCCACAACCCTAGTGACTGGAGCAGAGGGTGACCTTAAGCAGCAACACAATTCTGTGTTACCCATAAACTAGAGGATTCCCAAGCTCACTCCATTCCAAGGCTTCCCTCCAAAAAGATGGGAGCCCAAGTGCTTAACAGGAATTTGTGGCCAGAGGTTCCCATGGCTACTGTGTACCTGCAGGCAAGGTTTCCTTGCCTTATTAGGGTTTTCCTAGAACACGTCCAAAGGTTTATGGGAGGTACAGGTAAGGTACAGGTCCTCACCATTATTCAATTTTCTAGCCTTTTCTTTCCCAGAATCAAAGTGATCTTCATTTTCAACAAGTCTAAGTAGTTGAAGAAACAGAATAATCTATTCTCCTTCACTTCCCTCATAAACAGAACTCTCCATACTCAATGGCAGCTATTCTGTTTTGTCAAAGGCTTCACCTCTATTCTAAAGTTGGGTCTAGACTCTTGACAGTAAGATTCACAAATGAAGGCAAGGGAACTCAGCAATAATTTCCACCTATACCACACATTAAAACTTAACAGAATTGGCTCTTGGTTATTCTGGCAGTTAGAAAAGCTTTTTAATTCTTGCACCTGTACAACCATCACGAAAGTTACAAGACCATAAAAGTCAGTCAGCTTAGTTGGCAGATTTGCACTGGAATGAAAGCTCCGTGAGGGACTCTGGTTTAGTCATGATTATGTCCCCGATGCCAAGCACATAGGCGCTCAATAAATCTCTGTTAAATGAATGAATGAATAAATGGCTGTATGAGTTTTGAAACAAAAACTGCTTTAATCAACTACAGGGGCCTTACGTTATGGAGTAAATATGGGACTCCCTGTACCTAGGCAAACTCACAAAACCTGGCCATATTTAAAACCAGTTAGGCCTGTCAAATACAAAAGGAGCTTGGGGTTAAATTAATTAAACACGGAGGCCATTAGACTGAGGTGGCTTTAACGCCTTAGCAGCCTAAGTAAGCAAACTAAAACCTGTTAAGCAAACAAAAGCCTAAACCTGTAAACGCCTCCCAGTTAAGAAATCAAAATCTACAGACAACCAACCACAAACAGACAACTAGACTTTCCCAAACGAGGCAACCACTTGAGCTGTGGCCAATCTACTAATTTCCTTCCTTTGTTTCTGCTGCTTCTCTTTAAAAGTCTGTCTCTTAGGTCCTGTCTGTGAAGCGTTCCTAACCATTTCCTGTTTGGTACTGCCTGATTTGAGTAGATTTTCGCTTTAATAAACACTTATAATTTTTATTATGTCTAAGTTTATCTTTTAGCACTGGGGATATGTTAAGAATAACTAAGAAATATAAAACATCTGGTACCTGTGTAGTCTGGATGATGGTCAAGTCATTCATATGAGAAATTCCCACTCCCATAGCGGCTCGGAGGCCAGCTGTTCCAAACTCCATTCGAGCTCCAAAACATTTTTGTAGTTCTTCTTTATTATGTTCTGCAATTAGTTGTTTCACTGACTCCAGAGTTAAAGGATTCTGCAAAACAGAAACATATACACCAGATACAGCCAGGTGAATAGCAGAACAAAAAATCTGAAAAAACAAACAAACAAACAAAAAAACCCCCACAATAATTCTACCCTAGGGGAAGGAAAAAATAAAAATAAATAAATATGTGTGTGTGTGTGTGTATATATATATTTGAAAAGCCTCTGTGTGTGTGTGTGTGTGTGTGTGTGTGTGTGTGTGTGTGTAGGCTTTTCAATATTTTGATGCTTTCGAAATCTAAAATATAGTCATTTTTTCTGAATTATAACGAGTGATATTGCAATATAAAGTGAAATATTTAGTTTTAGAACAGATTAGACTAGGTTAGAATAGAAATATATATATTTAGTCCCTGGTTCCTGGCACAGAACTTCTACAACCCTTAGAATTTCCTGATTAGGGTGAGGAGCATCTTTTGAAACTTTTAATAACCCCCTTTCAGCCATACCTGAGTTAATGCTAATGAGGTGACTCTTGAAGGATGGGGGCTGGTTTCCAGGGGAGCCAACAATGTGATTAGAGGGTTGGTACTTTCAGCCCCATCCCCTGACCTACAGGGAGGGGAGATGGGCAGGAAATTAGGTTCAATCGCCAATGACCAATGATTTAATCAATCATGCCTATGTAATAGAACCTCCATGAAAACCTTAAACAGGGTTGAGAAAGCTTCTGGGCTGGTGAACACATTGAGGTGCTGGGAGGGTGATGCACCGGGAGAGGGCTTGGAAACCCACAGACCTTGCCCTGTGCATTTCTTCCACTGGCTGTTCCTGAGCTGTGTTCTTTATAATAAAACTGGTAATAGTAAGTAAAGTGATCTCCTGAGTTCTGTGAGCTGTTCCAGGAAATTACCGAACTCAAGAAGGGGGTTGTGGGAACCCCTGATTTATCACTGGCTGGTCAGAAGTACAGGGGGCAACCTGGGACTTTCTACTGGCATCTGAAGTAGGGACAGTATTGTGGAATTGAGCCCTAAACTGGGGGGGGTCTGTGATAATTCCAGGTAGCTAGTGTCAGAATTGAGTTATGTTGTAGGACAACCCAGCTGGTGTCCACAGAGAACTGGAAACTAACTTGGTGTGGAATACACACATTTGATGTCAGAAGTGTTGTGGGTAGAAGGAAACAGTCTTTTCCTTTATAATGTAAGTATTATTTTCATTCCTACGAAGGCAAGCACTTTTGGAAAAAAGGAATGAACAGATAGGTTTTGGGGTCTAACACCCAGAATGAAATCTCAGCCACACCACCACTCACCAACTCTATTCACTTAGGCAAAAAATATAGAATCTTCCTTACAAGGTGGTTTTGAAGTCGTTTACATTAAATGAATATAAAACATCTTTCTCTGTCTGGCACTTAGTCGCAATTGAGTGTCCATTTTCTTCCCTAATGTCTTCAAATTTTCCCAGAGTGATAAGATTATACAATTTAAATCAAAACCTTACTTTTATAATATTTCATAATTTACACAAAGCTTTCACATACCTGGTCAAATATGAATCTTGTAATGACTGCAAGATGCACACAAATAACAAAAACCCCATTTTACAGACAGGGAAGACTCAGAGGTTAGACTTGCTTAAACTGCATGATAAGCGTCAACTCAGTCCTTTCCTATTACCTTAACTGCTTCAAATACACATTCACATGAATCATTTAAATTCATCTTACATTGCCCATTTTCTTTGTACAACAGTTGCAGAAAGTGTTAAGAATGGAGAAAGATGACAATCACATTAATTCCATTATCAGGCATTGTAAATTAAGAGGAACACTAGAGTAAGTACTTTATTTCACTCATCTTACAGTCATCATCCCACTAGGTGAACATGCTGGCAAGATGTGGCCATATCATTACACTTTGAAATGTTATTGCAATAAAACCCTGGATTTCTGGAACGATGCCCACATTTCCAGATTGTTCCAGATTGAAGACAAATCAAGTAAAAGCCCACTTTTTTGGTTAAAAGCAATAGCCACTGATCACAGAGCACAATCTGACCAATCGGATCGTCAGGTGCCCTCAAGGAAAGGCTCAGGTCTGGACCATAAAAGAGGTTGAGAAAACAGAGACTTCAAGGTCACAGCCAATATCCGGGGATTCTCAGGGGAGATCTGGAAAATCCTTACTGGCCTTTGATGCCTATAAAAGACCAACACCCGGAGAGAAACCAGAGGAGGCAGAGAGATAAGAAGGAAAAGTCAAGAGCGCAGCAGGTGTGATCAGCCCGGGGAGTGACCAAAGCTGACAGCAGGTAAAGGAACTGGGATAGAGGCACAGTGGGGATGCGGTGGGCACCTACTGGGTGCCTTGCCATCCTTGGGGGCACTGGGACCAGAGGGCCGCATGCTTCTGGCTGGCCGGAAGTTCCCTCTTGCAGGCGGCCTGTCTCAAACCAAGGAAGAAACTGAGGAGGAAAGAACTGGAGAAACGGCAGAAATTAAAAAATAAAAACAACATCCGCTCAGTACCCAGGGAGGTACTATTTCTATACAGATACAACTTTTTGTGTTAATTAGGTTTTCATTTCTTCAAACGGAACAAGTCATTACCAGCTATAACTTTAAAAGATTTCTACACGCTGCACGTTATTAAGTTATAAGAAATGAAAACATTTTCCTTCCTTAAAGAACCGTAAGGTCATTCCAGGAAATGAAAAGCCACCCAGCGTTGCCAGTGGCATCCAGAAATAGGATGCGCATTTCTTGTCTAGGGGCCAGAGGGCAAAGAGGGGGACCCAGCACTGCGGACAGGATGTGCGATCACTCAACAACTTGAGACAACACCCCTGAGCCTGGCCGCGTTCAGGCCAAGCCCGCTTGCGCCCCGACTTCTGGGCCAGCGCGATGGCTGGTTTTGTCCCGGGACACCTTTCCCGGGCAAACTCTGAATCTGCCGTACGCCGGCGGGCCCCGAGGCACCGGCCGCCGCTGCGTCCTCCTGCTCCGTCTTACCGAGGGAGGGGAGGGGAGGGGAGGAAGGAATCGCAGGCACGGAAACCGCAGCGCGAAAGGCAGCGCGGCGCCTGGGGAGCGGGCAGCGGACCCCGCACCTCCTACGGGCCCAGCCCCTGTCGCCCCTCACCTTGTCCCACTGTAGCCACCGGGCTGTTTCTTGGTCCAGCCGGGCGTCCATACCGGGGCCACCGCCTTCCCGAGCCGCCGTCGCCATCCCAGCGCTGCCACCACCAAGTTCTGGAGGAGGCGATCTCACCCTTCCGGCTGGGAGCGGAGAGGCGGAGGCGGGGGCGGGGAGAACCGATCGGGAACCAGCCGGGTCCCCGAGGAAAATGACGCGCTCGGCCCGTGGGCACGCCTCCTTGCAGTTCACCTGCGCGCCTCTGGGGGTAGCGGGGAAGAAGGGAGTGGGGAGCAGAGTTGAGTCTTTCCTATCGTGTCTGAAAGGTCCCCAGGTCACCCCCATTTATACAACTGCTATTCACTGCGTTTCTACTGTGTGCCAGGCACCATGTCAGGGGCTGGGATCCAAGGTTGAGTAAACGCAAATAATTTTTAACCTAAAAATTAAATAGAAATTCTGAGGGCCAAGAATAACGAGAAAAATCTTGAAAAAGAACCAAGTGGGAGGATTATGAGAAATAAACGGTGGAACAGAATGGAGATTCCAGAAATGAAACTACACGTGTATGGACAGTTTGTTTATTTCAGAGGTAGCTCTGCAGAGCAAGGGGACAGGACTTTTTTTCCCCCCTCCAATTAATGGTACACAGTGTATCAACTAACTATATATCCATGTAGGAAAAAGAAAAAAGAAACTTGAGCCCCCAAGGTCGTATCACATGCAACTATGCATTTCAGGTCAATTGTAGATCTAAGTGGGAAAAGTAAAATGAAACTTCTAGAAGCTAAGCTAGGAGTACAGCTTCATGACCTTGGGACTGCTAAGCCATGAAGGAGATGCATGCAGTGAGCATGAAAAGACACGTGAAAGAATGTTTCTATCAGCACTGTTTGTAATAGCCCCAAACCGGAAACAACTCAAAGGTCTATCAACAATACAAGGGATAAATACATTGTGGTATGTTCATACAATGATATAAACAAGTTATGGTATATTCATAGAGCAATAAAAGTGAACTATCATACACAATACAATGGATGAAACTCCCAAACGTTATGTTGAGTGAAAGAGGGCAGACCCGCCCTGCCATCCACCCCCACCCCCACCCCCACCCCCACCCCCCAAATACTAGATCATTCTGTATATACAAAATTCTGGAATAGGTAAAAATATAGGGAAAGAAAACAGTAGTGGTTTCTAGAACTGGGGGTGGGGAAAGAGGTTGACAACAAAGGGCACAAGGGAATTTGGGGGGTGATGGAACTGTTCTGTACCTTGATTGTGGCTATGATAAAAACAACTCTATGTGTTTATCAAAACTCATAGAACTGTACACTCTAAAGGGTAAGTTTCACTGTATATGTAAATTATATCTCAATTTTTTTAAGTCTTAAGATTGAAAACTTTAAAAAGGAGGCAAAAATAATCTATAGACATCAGGAGAATGGTGTGTTTAGGAAGGAGGACAGTGCCTTCTGGGAGACTGGGACCACTCTGTTTCTTGATCTGAGTGCTGAGTGGTTGCTCAGATTTGTTTACTTTGTAGTAATTCACTGGACTGCACTTATGAACTGTGCATTTTCTGTGTATTCTATTTCAATTTTCAAAAGAAGGCACCATATATCCGGGATCTATGATATCTCTTTAAGTGTAATAAGAGAGGTATATTGATTATATAATCACATCAGTGACCACATAATTTCAAACAGATAAAAATGTTGGAAGGAAACCAAGGAGATTCCATGAGGGTGCAAACTAGGGAACTGTACTAGCCTGGGGAGCTCCGTTGAGCACTTGAAGCATATGTGGAGATGTGAGGGAGATGCAGTCTGCATTGGGGGAGGCAGCCTGGAAAACGCTTTCCGGATGGAGAGAACCCTAAATGTGGTCCTTCCCCTAACTGAAAGGCCTGAGAGACTGGAGCACAGGGAAGAAGAAGAGATAAAGGGTGGGCAGCCCTGGTCTCCCCATCTGTCAGGTTGTCTGCAGCTCTGCCACACTCAGTGTTGTCTCCTTTCTCTGCACTTGACTAACCTTCTTTTCAATCTCACCAGGACAGAAATTATGGGACACAGAGGGTCAGAGACCAGGTAGGTCTCGCTTAGCCCCTGTTTCCCTCTCAAATGACAGAGCTCTCCCAGATGGGTTTGTGCAGCTTCTAGCCTTCTGCCAGGGTGGAGGATGGAAGGTGTAAGGAGGTGTGGGGGGAGGGGGTTATGGGCCTCAGAGTTTCTATTTCTTCCTCCATCATGGGGGTGGCTGCAGCTGAGTCTATGCTACAGTTCAAAAGGTGTGGGGAGTAGGGTGGCAAGCGGCTATTTTGATACTTTTCATTACTTTCCTCAGCACAGAATGATGGGCTAATGGTGACATCCAATCAGAACCATTTAATCTCCACTTGAGACACCAAGGGGCAGATTTCTCAATATTTAATATTCAAGGAAAGAAAGTAAGTAGGATTTTCAAACCAGGAGGAACTTTTCACAAGGAATTGCTAAGTTGTGAATACGTTCTCCTCCCTTAACCTGAGAAGAGCATCAAGACCTCAGGTACCATGCTGAAAACAATTCACAAAAGTCTCACTCTATCACTCCCTTCTGCTTCCCATGTGAAGTAGAAACCAGCCTCTCTAAGGTTGCGTCAGGGGGTCTCTATGTGCAGACTTTCCCCAGGGTCTCCTGTAAATAAGCTTCCACCATTGGACATCTTTTTGTTTCTGACCATGATACTACAGTGATGTAAAGCAGCTGATTCCCACACATGACCCCAAATTAACATTTCATGTCTGTGGAAGCCCATGTAGAAGAATAGAATGTTGGAGTAGGAAGGGTTGTTGGGAACAATCAATCCTCCTTGTTTTGTAGATTAGGAAACCAAGACACAGAATTTCAGAGCCCTTCTCTGAGACACACAGCTGATCAGTGATGGAGCCAACATTTACACGCTCAGTCTCCTGGTTTTCAAATCCAATGTTTAATCTGCTGTTCCACTCAAACCATTTCTACACATGTGCATAGAGGAAGTTCCATGAACTTTGGTAACCTGTTTTCATGTGATAGCAGCGCTTTTTATTCAAAACAAATACTACCCACTTCTGGCATCAATAATGTTAGGTGATGCTCAAAATAATTTGATTTGTTTGTGTGTGCTTCCCTGCTGCCCAAGAACTATCTTACACACGGGTGTCCCATTTTTCTTGGAAGCCTTTCCAACTTCTCCCATCATCTTGTCAGCGATTCTACCAGTTTCTTTGTATCCAGCCCAGGAACAGTTTTTCTAAGACATTTATTTTGGAAAGTTTAAAATATTTACTAAAATTGATCCCCGTGTAACTATCACCCAGGTCAGCTGTGATCATCTATAACCAATCTTGTCTACATACGCCTCCTGCATACTTTGAAGAAGACTCTATATCATTTTGTCTATAAATATTTTAGCCTGTATCTCTAAAAGGCAAAGACACTTTAAAAATAACTATGGGGTTGTCGGAAAAGTCATGACGTATTTTTTCTATGTTTTTCGTCGCAAAAATGCGTCATGACTTTTCCGACAACCCAATGTTATACCACCTAAACTTTTTTAAAGTTGAAGTTCATAATTTCTTAAATAATTCAATGTTCACTTAGTGTTCAAATTTTCAAATATCTAGGAAGTGTCTTTTCTCCCCCTACAATTTGCTTGAATCAGGTGCCAAATACTCTTGTCATGGGTTGATAAATCTTTTAGATCTCTTTTAATCTATAGATTCTGCCTCAATTTCCTCACAATTTATTTGTTGAAGACACTGGGTCATTTGTCCTGTAGTTTTCCCACAGTCTAGATTTTGCCGACTGCCTCTCCACGGTGCCTGCTAACATGTTTCCTTGTCTCTTGTGTTGCCTATACATTCATTTCATTACACTTTTTGCTTCATGGTCTCTCCCTCAGTAGACTGAGTCCTTTGAGGACAGGAATGGTGTTTTATTCATCTTTGCCTGATTTCTTGATTTCTCACTCACTGCCATCAGTCATGGTGTGCTGTGCTGATCCTTGAACGTGTCAAGCAAGTGCTGGTCTGAGGGCTTTGCCCACTGCCATCCCCCAGACAGGCCAATGACAGATGTCCATGTTTAATTCAGGCATCTGCTTAAATATCACCTCATCAGAAACACTCTCCTCTATAAAGTGCTAGTAAATGTTTAACAACTATTCTGTGGGATAAAAAGTTCTGATATGTAGTATTTGCCAATTCCCATGGTTTAAATACATTCACCATAGCTGGCTTCAAGCTACCAAGGTGACATCACTGAACACGGAGTTGGAATCAGGTTTGCAGGAGTACGTCATTATGTAGTATTTACACCACACAAATATAACAGGTATAAATAACTTAGCTAGCATAGGTAACAGTAACAAGTAGTAAAACAAATAGAAAATAGTGAGTTTTGAGTATTTATTACCTTTGCTTTTATTATAATGTATTTATTTGTAAGGCTATATAATTTAATTTGTGAGAATGTCTGTGTTTAACATCTAGCTAGCAAAATTCCTAAACATGTAATTGTCAACTCTGATGACACTGGTAGGAGCTGTCACCAGCACATCACTGCCTCTCCCGAAACGAGACCTGCACTACCCTCTTATCTTACTTTATTTTTCTTCAAAGTGTTTACCAGTAACTGCCATGACATTATGAATTTGATTTTTAAAATATTACCCTGCTTTAATGTAAACTCTTTTTTTCTGACCGAGTCCCCAACACCAAGAGCAGTGCTTGGTTTATAATAGGTGTTAACAAGTATTTGCTGAAGAATGAATCATTGGGTCCTCTTACACTCATGAAGAAAAATAATACAGGCATATTTCGGAGATATTGCAGGCTTGATTACAGACCACTGCAATAAAGCAAGTCATAATCTTTTTGCTGGTAGAAGGTCTTGCCTTCGTTTTTTGTAAAACACACACTATCTCTGAAGTGCAAGAAAGCAACGTGCAATAAAACGATGTATGCCTCTATAAGATACAGGTGTGACACCTGTGCAAATGTTTTCTCTAATACAAACTAGCATTTCTGAATCTAACCAAGAAAAGCAAACTGCTTATCACTACTTCAAGGCTAATGAGAGAATGAGTAAATAGTGTCAATAGACTTTATCAGTGTGCTCATTACTGGCCA